TCTTTAGAAAAATTTTTTTAAAAATTAGGCAGATATGATGGTGCATACCTATAGTCCCAGTTATGCAGGAGGTTGAGGCAGAAGGACTACTTAAGCTATAATTCTGTCACTGCACTCCAGTCAAGGTGACAGAGACCCCACCTCTTAAAAAAAAGGTAAAAGAAGATCCCAGTGCAAGCCTATAGCACAACTTCTTCTCCTAGGGCAAAATGGGTACAAAGAGGATGAGCACACATCTGTCCAGGTGCCCAGCCTGGGCTCTCCCACAGGTACACACACTCTTCATGATTCAGGGGTGTGGATGTGGGCAGCTTGCCCAGGCTGCTCAGATGTAAAGGTTGGGCTCTCTGACAGGCCCTGGTTAGAGAAGACTTTGAGGAAGGTATCAGATGTGCAGAAGGATCCTTGCTTTAACTACGCTATGTGTAGCTCTGGCTGCTGGGGACATAGGGCCTCCTGTAGCCTTTGGCTTTATTCCCTTCAGAGGACACTCCAGGAGGATGGGCTGGGGCACATTAGCAAGAGACAATCAGGCAAGTAGAACAACTGTAAAAGCCCTGACTTCAGAAATGGAAATAGCCACTGACCAACATTAGAAGCCCTAGAAACTTCCCTTGGAATTTCTGATGCTGGACCCTCTCCCCTGTTCCCTGCTTACAGCAGCATCACCAAATGGGAAAAGTTCTAGAAATGGAATCAGAATGCTTGGGTTCCAGGACTGGTTCTGCCAGTGATGCTGTGTGTATTTGCTCTCTTTGAGGGGTAGGGGCTCTTAGTCACTCTAGTCACACTTTCCTTGGCCATGGGCTATTTCCCAGCCTGCGTAGGGCTCAGCCTGGCTTCCCTTGGGGAGACGATCTTTACCCTCCATATAAGTTGGAGCCTCAGACACTTGGCCAAATGGAGCTGTTCCTCTTCCTGAGATCATGCAGGGTGTCCTTTCATGGTGGTCACTCTACAGAGAATGGAGCCAGAGAATGGCTCCCCTGGTCCTCCAATCAACCCGACACCCATTCCTCAAATCAATGGAAGAGTACCTCTGATGACATTGCTCGTCTGATCAGAAACCATCGGTAGCTCCCCACTAGTTATCTAAGACAAGGGAGAGGATGAAATTCCAGAAGGTTGGAAAAGTGATAGGAAACGCCCCCAGCCAGGGGACGAAATCCTTGAGCAAGCTAGGGAATGTAGAGGTTACTAACACATGTGCTAAAGAAACTGGAGGAAAGACTGGTTTAAAGACTGTTAAAGAGAAGAAGAAAATGTGCTGAAGAGGAAGAGCAAGGGTTTACAAGCCACGGTGGCCTCAGATTGTCCCATGGAAGGGGAGGAGAGGATGGAGATATTCTGAAGATGGATGAAAGTCAGGAGGAGGCGGAGGTGGAGAGACCATGCTTGCCACAGGGTGGGCAGTCCCATGCTTTTGGAGCACCCATAGAAAGAGGTTAAGGCTGAGGCTTCCGGTGGCTGGCCGGGGGAGACCCACAGGGGAGGAGCGAGAGAAGGCAGGTGGTCCCATCATGGATGGGGTGGTAGGAAACACCTGCAGTGTGACTTGGTATCCCCTGGGAGGCCAGGAAAGAGAATGGAAGAGGCCTGGGAAAGAAGGAGCTGGGGAAATAAAGGAAGATGGAATAGCAGGAGGCAAGGAGAAAAAAGAAAGAGGTTAGGGAGAAGAGTTCTGGGCCTTTAAAGGAGGGCTCCTCTCAGCTATAAGCTGGGGGGAGAACTCAGAAAGGACTGCCTGGGACTAGTACCTGGTATCTCTTGGACAGAGCCATCCACTTACTTGCTAGAAGATAATGCAACACAGACCACCCTCAAACAACCCCTGGGATCTCACCCAGCCTCAGTCTGAGGGCTTGCCTCCACCCCCACCCAACCCAGCCTTGATGGAGACTGAGCAGCCACCCCACACCCTTAGTGCCATACCTGGCCTTGCTGCCATCGCCCAGGATATGGAGGCTACAGCTGCACAGAGATGGGCAAGAGCCCCGGGCCTGGGGAGGCCACCCAAGGGCCAAGAGCCAGAGCATGCCCACTGCCAGCCTCATGACTCCTGGCTCCTCTCTGGCCTGGGCAGGGGCCTCTGCCTGGATTGCTCTGGCCCACCAGCCCAGCCAGCCCAGCAGCTGCCCACTTGCTCATCGGCCCCCTACACCCGCCCCTGAGGCAATGGGATAAACACGGACAGGCTGGGGATTAGAGGGGGAGTCCCAGCCACAGCACTCAGCGGCTTATTGCTTTCTGAATCACAGTGCTGAGAGTGGGGGTGGGGGACCCCCTTCTGTAGCAAAAGCCCCAGGCCCAGAGAGGCCAGGGCTCAGCAAGGCAGGCAGGTGGGCAGCTGTCCAGACTGGACTAAGTGGGCTGCCACTGTGAAAGAACCCCATGCCCACCAGGCTGTGGACAGCACAGACCCCACTGGGGTGCCTGGGCTCATGGAAGATGGACAGAAGCTTGGCTTTTAGTAAAGGCCTTTAGAAATTCTTTCCCTTGACGCTCTTTCATAGGGAAAAAGTAGTGAGATGAAGCAACTCTTCTTAAAGGTGTTAAAGCTGTTATAAACAGCCCAAGTTCCAGGTCCAAGCTACCTGGGTTTAAATCCCAACTGTTTTATTTACAGACTGCAACCTCAGGTCAGTCACTTAGTCACTCTTGGCCTCTTAGCACTCATGTGCCAAGGGAAAGAAAAGTTACTCCACCCAGGGTGTTTAGGAAACTTAAACAACCCAAGTTTCCTAGGCCTTAGCAGCCTGTGGGAACAGAGCCCTTCCACAAGTACCTAATGTCACTGGTACTTACAAGTACCGATTTATAGAGGAGCTGGAAAGATTCAGAAATTTCTAGAAGACCTCAGAGGTATCCCCCATGGGTTCATGAGACTGTCTCAGGCTCCCAGTCTGCAGGGCAAACAGCTGCCTGCCCTGAATGCCCAGTGGCACCCAGACTCAGAACATTGCTATGTCAACTAAGACCCTCTGGACATTACCACCAATGCCAAAGGCAAAAGCTATCTCCACATGGGGGCCGAGGACATCCCTCCCCTCAAGGTATCATACTCCAAGAAGGGTTCCAGAGCATGATCTCCCAGAGCTTTTAGAAAAGGCATCTTTTACCTGCTCTCCCCTACCTCATCCCATCATAACTATTTAAGACGGGACAGGGCCCAGGGTGATTCCCAGTGGTAGACACACAAGTAACTCATTTGTTCTTCTTCATAGTTGACTCCAAGGCTTTGCTCTCTGGTCCAGCATGCCCTACCTGGGGTCCTTTGGCTTTCCAAGAAGATTCCCTAGTACCTCACGCCCATGGGCCTAGGCAAGTCCAGACCAGTGAGGTATGACCTAGGGAGATATCTGGAGCCCCGGTGCACATGTAAAATGACCAGCTCTGTGCCAGGTCTGTTCTGACAATACTGGCTCCCAGGAGCTGTTGGTTTTCATCCCTTCCTCGCCTCCGATCTAGCCAATCAATGCTTCCCACCTGCTCCTTGTCCTCCCCGCACTGAAGGACCAGCCTGCTGTTCCCTCATTCCTGCCTCTTCCTTCTTCTACCCAGGATGACTTCCCTTCTGGCTTTGTCCTGATTTCCCATCTTTTGTGACCTTAGAGGCATGGGAAAAGGACTAACACATGTATTAATCAACAACCTTAGGTAGAAACTAGAAATTTGGGCTATAAACTAGACGGACACCATGACATTCTAGCCTGGACAACGGAGTGAGACTGTCTCAAAAAAAAAAAAAAAAAGGAAAGAAAGAAAGAAAGAAAAGAAATTAGTAGAAAACGGCAGGAAACAGAATGAGTTGCTCCAGCAGAGTGAATCAGAAGATCCCAGTAAGTGCCTGAGCCTGGGGGCCTTTTGTTCTAGCATCACCACCGTGAATCACTGCGTGACCTCCGGCTGATTCTCAACTGCTCTTAGCCTCAGTTTTCTCCTCAGAAATGGATAATAATATCTAATTCATGGGGCTGTTTGTGGGACTGGTTAGAAGATTCTTTAGCATAGTGCCTGACCTCAATAAACATTAGCTGCATTGCTAATAGTCCTCTGGGGCTCAGATTCTTCATCTGATAATGAGTCAAGTTACCCTAGATCAGTGTTTCCTGATTTATATTTTACCTTAAGCCAGCACTTAATGGTGCATAATGAGCCAGTTATGCACCTTGGGCCCAAGAAGTTATTTGTATTATAGAAGCCAGAGCTCTTAATGGAGCTTGGGGCACTTACAGACGAGATCAGCCCTCTGTTCCATGGCAGTGTCCTGGGAGATTTTCTGTGCTTATATGACTCAAGTGCTCTATAGGAGACAGGAATCACAGCCCTGAAATCTGTAAACACAGTGCATTCTTCTAAACAGGACTCATACAGGCTATGGACAAAACCGTTCCTATTGCAAACCAAGAAACTGGGAAGAGCCCAGGTGGTCCCACTCCAGGGCCCCTAGCTTATTAGTGGCAGATTCAGAACCAAGACCCTACTGTGTACTTCGAATTGGGGTTCTTTCTCTAACTGCAGGTGACATTCCAAATCTTATCCTTTTCCCAGTGCTATGAGCACATGCATGTGAGCCTGCGGGCACACACACACATGCACATGGGTGGTCAACCCTAACTACAAGCATGGAGAGGCCTGGCTCCTCTCCAATTATCAGGAACAGCTGCAGCTCAAATCCTTCCTTTGGCTGGCCTCCCTTGGTTATGCAACTCCTTTCCAATTTGGCTTTCAGCCACACACCATTTGGATTCCCCAAACTTAATCCTGCACAGTGGGGCTGAAATGAATGAGACAAAGGCTGCACTGTCCAACTGGTGAATGGGTTCCTTCTACTTGGGCCAACAGGACCATTTAGAGGGAGTGAGCAACAAGAAGGAGCCAAGGTCTCGCATAATAACCTGCATGTGCCCTCACGTGGGATGGCCCTTTAAAAGGGAGGGGCCTGCCTGTGGGCAGTCAGAGAGACAGCCGGCTGGCTGCAGCCGGGAGGGCCAGTGAGAATGGCAGAGCCCGGCACCCTGCCTGCTGGCTTTGGAGAAATCGAAGTGCTGGCTGTGGGGACCGTGCTGCTGGTAGAAGGTGAGCCAGCAAGGACCTGGGGTGATTCAGGGGCCCAGTGGGTTCTCAGGATCCAAGCCACAGCTGTGCAGCTGGCAAGAAGAGGTCCCCAAACCCAGCAGGGTGATGTCCTATGGCTGCCTGCTCCTCTGTGCCTGGACCCAGAGAGTCTTCTGACTGCTGCACCTGTGCGATGCAGCACGCCGGCTGGGGACCAAGACAGAGAAGCCAGGCACGGGTCAGGAAGGGGGAGGGACTTTGAGAGGGGGACATCTGCTCAGGAAATGACCAAGAAGCAAGCTTTAAGATTTTTCATATCCTTCCAGATGGGAGAAAATGTAATCCACTCTCCGGAAATCCCACTAAGAATCCCATATAAGATCAGGTCCCCGAAAGGCTCTGGAGACAGACAGCTCTGCCACCTGCTCTTATGTGACTATAACCAAGTCCCTTTCACTCTCTTCCCCCAGTGCCTTGACATTTAGAATGGATGGGTGTGAGTGGGAAAGTGAGTACAAAGAGCTACGCTAGACAGACACCGGGGCATTTAGTTCTTCATTCCCATCCTCTCCAGCCCCCCACTACTTCCTCCATGTCTCCTCACATGGCCCTAAGCATTTCCCTTCTAGGGTTACTTGGGTCCATGAGGTACCTGCCCTGATCCAGAATCCCTAAAATGCTCACTGAGCCTGGAGCTAGAGAGACTGTCAATCCTGGAGCTGAGCCAGCCCAAGCTAGGTTGATGGGGACCACGGCCCTTGTTCAAAGCAGACCCAGGGCAATAATCAACATATTTTCTCACCCGATAAGGACCAACAGTGGAGAGAGAGTAGCAGCCATTAGACTGCCTCTCAAGGCCCTGGACACAAGTGTCTGATCCCAGCCTATTACCCCATTTTCTGAGAGCCCTATAATCTAGCACCCCCAGGTCCTCAAACATGCCATGAAACTTTACCATTTTATTTGTGCATGCTATTCTCTGTTTCTGGAATGCTCTTCCATGCATTGTTCTCCAGGAAAATGCCTATGGTTTTTTTTTTTTTTTTTTTTTAAGACAGAGTCTTACTATGTCACCCTCTGTAGAGTGCTGTGAAATCACAGCTCATGGCAACCTCTAACTCTTGGGCTCAAATGATTCTCTTGCCTCAGCCTCCCTAGTAGCTGAGATTATAGGCACCCACCACAACACCTGGCTATTTTTTGTTGTTGTTTAGCAGACCTAGGCTGGGTTTGAACCCGCCAGCCCCAGTGCATGTGGCTGGCACCCTAATCACTGAGCTACAGGCACCAAGCCAATGCTTATGGTTTTTAAGGCAGGATTCTTTCCTGTTCCTCACTTTGGATAAGGGAAACTGAGGCTCAGAGAACGTAAAGGGCAGCAAATGAATGACCAAGCCGAAATTCAAGGACGGGTCTCTCTGCCTCCTGAGAGTTCTCTCTGCAACTTCACCTCAAGGCCTGGCACAGGGCAATCTCCCAAACTCCGAGCCTTGGAGATTCTTTATTGCCCCACAGCCCTTGGAGAAGGCCTTATAAAACTCAAAAGACCTGAGTTCAAGTTCCCACTCCACTACTTAGTAGCTGTGTACTTAGGGCGAGTTGGCTAGCATCTCTGAGACTCAGGTTCTCAGCTGTAAATGGGGAGGAATGTACCCAAGTGAAGACTGAATGAGATGACCCATGTAAAGTGCTTGTCACAGTGCCTGGGGTGTGATAAGTGCTCAGTGGGTGTCCCCGGTGATGACTGTTACAGCATGAACCATTCTGCCCTGTGTTGATCACCCTCACTGTCTGCCTGGGAGGGTGCTGAGGCTCCATCCTCCCCATGGGCTCTGTCCTGACCCCAGGGGGAGAGGGCCCATGGGGATGATGGAGACCCGATGCCAGCCCTACCCTTCCTTTCAGCTCTCTCAGGTCTCAGCCTCAATAGCCTGACCATCTTCTCTTTCTGCAAGACCCCGGAGCTACGGACTCCCAGCCACCTACTCGTACTGAGCTTGGCACTTGCAGACAGCGGGATCAGCCTGAATGCCCTCATCGCAGCCACATCCAGCCTCCTTCGGTACCAGCTCATTTTCCTGTCTATAGGCCCCAGGGCCCTGCTGGGGCCTGACCTCTGGGCATTGGGCAGCCAGGCCTGAGGCATCCTTCCCACCTATAGAAAACTGACCAAGAGAGAGGGTGGGCAGGCTGCACTAGGCTAAATCCAAATTCCAGATGATCCCTGAATAACTGCAGCCAATTTCTGGAAGGCAGGGTTTACTCAAATCTGCCCAAAGAGATGGCAGAAGATATAAGCAGATGGCCTAGATCTAAGACCTGGCTTTATCATTTCTAGTTCTGGGATTCTTTTATAAATTGGATATTATTACTTAATCCCTATGGGTGGGTAGAAGTACTGACTTTTTCCTATTTGTAAATAATTTAAAACAAGGCTTGGTATCCAGGATTCCCTGAAGGAGTGTCTGTGAGAACAAACAAGCTTTGGACTAGGTTCTAACATCTCCATGTACACAAACTAGCATCTTCCAGTGTGGCATCAGAAGGTGTTTATAAGACTGTTTTCTTAAGCAGACTGAATACTCCCGTTCTGGTTTGGGGCACTGCATATGGAGGTGGGAGCCCCCCTGGATGTGAATGCTCTGGGCTGGTCAGCCTGGAGGCACTGAGTCAGTGAGGATTCCTCCTCCCACAATGAACTGAAGCTTCTACCTTTCCTTGGCCCATAGCGCTGAGAGCTGGGAGACCTGGAGGCTGCCCCTCTGGCTGTCCCTTCATGCACTGTGTCATCTTGGCCTCTTTGAGCCTCAGTTTCCCCACTTACAGAGTAAAGGCTTGAGCTCTCATCACACAGGGAGACCCTTCAGCACAACCGCAGTGCAGCTGGAGCCACACCAAGCCTGGAGAGCTTGCATGGGGCTCCACTCCTTTGCCTGGTGACTTCAGTTCTAAGGCCTCAGTTTCCTCCTACAAAAAACACAGAAAATAAGGCCTTCTTTGGAGGGGCAGGGCCAACAATGAAGAACATACCCTCTAAGCTGTGCTAGGAAGGTGTGGGAGGTGGGAAGGAGGGAGGGGAGGGATCACTGTGCCCAGTGTCTCCCACAGGCGCTGGCCCTACGGCTCAGGTGGCTGCCAGGCTCACGGCTTCCAGGGCTTCACGACGGCATTGGCCAGCATCTGCGGCAGCGCAGCCATCGCCTGGGGGCGCTATCACCACTACTGCACCCGTATGTCTCTGGGCTCCCCGAGTGGCACAAGTGGAGAGGATGAGGGGCAGGCAGGAGTGGGATCTGTGCAGACCTACTGCCCTTGAGGCAGCCTTGGGCAAGTCAGGAATCCTCTTCTATGTTCTTCCTCAGTGAGATAATTTTAATAACCAACCTCACATTTATTCTGAAAATCAAATGAGATCATGGATACAGAAAATGCCTTTGCAGCTGGGCGCTTCTTGGGGTGCAGAGAGGCTGTGTGAATGTATGGGCAACTGGGCATATGCCCGCAAGGCTTCTGCCAGGGCTTTGCAAAGATAGGTCCCACTCTAGACTCCCCAAGCTGCGTGTCAAATACCATCCCTATATTTGGCCATATCAGTGACACACTTGCAAAAATTTAAACATCTGCTTTAATTTTATTCTAAGCAATATCTGTGAAGTCATGGGTTTAATATTCTTATCATTTTTAATAGACATCAAAATAAAACCATGTGGCCAGGTGTGGTGGCTCAGCCTATAATCCTAGCACTCTGGGAGGCTGAAGTGAGTGAATCACTTGAGCTCAGGAGTTTGAGGCCAGCCTAAGCAAGAGCAAGACCCCATTTCCACTAAAAATAGAAAAATTAGCTGGGGGTCATAGCAGCCATAGTCCCAGCTACTTGTGGCAGGAGAATCAGTTCAGCTCATGAGTTTGAGGTTGCTATGAGCTAGACTGAGGCCACGGCACTTTAGCCTGGGCAACAGAGTGACACTCTGTCTCAGGAAAAAAAAAATCAGAGATAGTCTAGGATCCAGTGATTCTGGGGAGCCAGGGCTCAGCCAAGTCTCATAGCAACCCCCCAGCTTACAGCCTAGGCACAGAGAAGTTAACCAGCTTGCCCCGGGGTCACACAACCAGTAAGGGCAGAGCTATTACTGGGTGTAGCAAGGAAACTCCTAAATCTCAAGCTGTGGATTTTCCCAGCACAGGGGATGCTGTGGTGTCTGTGGCCAGTATGGTCTCAAGCCCTGGCCCAGACCCCTTTGGAATCCACAGACAGGCAGCCTGTGCCCCTGTCACATGCACAGCCTCTGACCTTGGCAAAGCTGTGACCTTTTCATGCCTCCTGTCTCATGCCTCTCTCCAGACCAAAAAGCTACCTTTGTTTTTATCATTTTGAATGGCGCTAGGACCCCACCTGTCCACCTGGCCTTAGACTTGTTCCACTGCTCTTGTCCCAGCCCTAGCCCCCACCCAAAGCTCCCAGGGGCCATCTCTCATGCACACACCCCACCATCATTCAGACAGCAACAAGCTTCTCTGCCTCAATATAGAACAGTTCATCCCTGTGCTGGGGCCTCAGATCAAAGCCCTTCCTGTACTGGAGGGTAGAGCAGAGCACTGTAGATACAGGAGAGGGAGAAGGAGCATCTGAGCTCACCCATTTCATCTCTGGATAGCTGCAAGCTCATCTCTTTGGTCATCTGTTTCTAAAGCCAAAAAGCTGGTACAACACATGGATCCAGGTGGCTGTTAATTGTTGTGTTCACAATTGGGATTGGGGATATCACAGTTTACCTCAGCCATTTAACAAAATACCATAGACTTTGGGGCTTAAACAACACAAATTTATTTCTCACAGTTTGGGGGATGAGAAGTCCAAATTCAAGGCAACAGCATGATCAGGTTCTGGTGAGGGCTCGCTTCTGGGTTTGTAGATGGCCACCAAATTCAAGGCGACAGCATGATCCGGTGAGGGCTCGCTTCTGGGTTTGTAGATGGCCAC